GATAAGCGCTAGTGACGGCTTGAGCCACTTCATCGATAGAACATCATTTTGCCTCGACTAACATGGACTTACTGGACATGAAATAATCTAAACTGAACAATTAAACGTGAATTGTACGAGAGTTGTCGGGTAAAACAATTATTTGATCGATCACGGTTTACTTTAGGCATAATCGGACCTTAGCACGGCCTTACTAGAAATTCTCGAACATCATTCGAACACTTAATCTTATTATGACCTTACTAACCTAATCACTTAATCTTATTATGACCTTACTAACCTAATTATAAGATGAGGATAACGATACCTTCTTAGATGCTCGTCGGAATTTATAAACCGATCACGACCTCCGATAGCACTCGCGTGCACCCGTGTGTATGCGTCGATTCTTGCCGTACATTAATGTGAGAAACTTAAGGAAATAGATTGAATTTAATTGTTGTTGAACTATGAAGTAGAAGGCTGAACATGTATATGAGGGAAAGTGGGAATTTTTCGGCCTAGACTCCTCTATTTATACTAAGCCGTGCAAAGCACCCAATTTTGGGGTGATGATGTAGGTACTATGTGGCCTAATGTTAACCTTACACTTGCTAGCTAATTGAACCCTTATTGATGACTAATCACTCCCCTTAAATTGCCACGTATGGTGGTTAAATGAGGGAAGGGAGAAAGTCCTTAAGACTTAAGAAAAGTTGAAAAAATATTGGAACCTTTTACTTACTTATGCACACGGCTTTTAGGCATTTAATTGGGAAATAATTTCCCTAATTCACGGCTTAAGACATAAATTTGATGATTAAGTGCTAATTAATCACCTTCCTTATGTTTAATTATTTAATTAAACATAATGCTTAATTACCAAAATTATTCGAACGTAAATGGTACGTCGAAATAATTTCCGGTAATCTCGACTGAAATAATTAATTCCGAAAATAATAATCGATAACATTATTATATCGGAGCTAAAACATAATTTATACTGATAAAATATCGGGATATTACAGCCTCCTCGATCATAGTCGGGAGAATGCAGGCGAGAAGCTGAAGAAAGAACAAACAAACAGCATAATAAGAAATCAACACCACTAAAATCATGAGAAAAAAGCGAACAAACATAAGATTAAACCTACTCGAGGAATGAGCCGAGCGGCATAATGAGCCCTGTCGTATGGGTTGCCGTCGGAACGAGCTCGGTCGTCCTCCGGAAGAACTGACTGGAGGTAGTTGAGAATCTGAAGAGAGTCGGGGTTGTCATAAAGTCGAGAGGGTTGTTGAAGGGTCACCGGTTGCACCCTCACGGGCGACGGTTGTCCCGCACCCTCTCCATCCAGAGGCGCAGTCGCATCGACCGCGGCCTCTAGCTCTTTCCTCTCCTGACGCTTCGAGGAGCCCGGTGCCAGAGCCTTATCTCGCTGGTAACGAGGCCTCTTGCGAGAGTGGGAATCCGACGGCTTGCTAGGAACAGAGGCGGAGGGAAGAAAAACTTTAGACTTCTTAGCGGCAGTCGTCTCGACCGCCGCCGATGGAGCAACAGAACTCGAGCCACCTCCAAGCTCTTGAGCAACCGATTTGCGGGCCGCTTCAGCCTTCTTCTTCTCGAAGCAGGCCAATTCTTTTACTAAAAAGGGAGAAAACGATCAATACAAACAAACACACCAGCCGTACGTGTATTTCAAGACAAATAAACGCAAAAACGCGAGACCGAACAATCAGCAAATAAATCGGAACAAAAGACGACAAACAAAGAAGCTTACAAGGATCGTTAAGACGAGGAACACTTTTGTCAACGCAAATACCAACATGATTAAGTAAAGAAGTATCTTTGGTAAGTCGACGAGCGCTCCATACGTGTCTATTTAAACTCTTCTAGCATATCAGCGAACTGTGAAGAGTCGGGACGCTTACGTTGCTTTGTCTTACTGGTAATCCACTCATTCGAAAAGGGATATTGGCCAGGAGCAGGTCGAATGAAGAAATACTTCTTTTTCCATTCGGTAATATTGGAAGAAAGGTCGTCAAGGAAAGTAACGCCTACTCGACGGCCCAGACAATGGGCGTCTTTGCTAAACCTATACCCGTAGCAGTAAATGAAAAACTCGGGTAAAAAATTACCTAAAACTATGCGGGTAACAACTATGAAGGCTACCATTATTCGAATAGAATTGGGGGTGAACTGGTTTATTGGTATATCGAAAAGGTTACTTAACGATTGCAGCTCAGGTTGAATCGGGAAACGCAAGCCCGACATTATTTGATCGACGAAAAAAGTAAAACAGCCCTTAGGAGGGCGACGGAAGTCGTCTTCGGGTTTAGGAGCAACTACAGCCCAATCAGAGGGAAGGCCGCTGAACTCTCTGAAGCCATCGATTTCGGCTGTAGGAGCATAAGAAAACGATAGTAAGAACTTTGCCACGGAACATGCTATAGTTACAGACTCGATTAAGGGGAGTTATTATCAAGTAAAGGAACAAGGCTGGCCGCATATATGCGGATGTCTAGAAGAACCTAGCGGAAAATACCTCGAGGAGTCAAGTCAGGGTAAGAGGATTCAAGGACTTGGAGAACTTCAGGATCCTCACAAAGTGTGCCCGAAAGCAACGCCTGATTGTACACAGCCCAATCGATACCGAAAGGTGAGGCATTGGAATGGACAGAGCCCTCCGGCTCGACGTTTCGACGAAAACATGGTTCGACATCGTTTGGGTGAACAGAGTCCGAACCCGAATAGTCATCTATTTCACGAGCAAGAGAACCGGAGACAGGATCAGAAAAAGGGTCGAGATTGGAATCTAAAAAGAAAAAGAAAAAGAACGGCAATCAAGAAAAATTATTAGAAAACGTGACCGTGATTCGATTCAAAGAGGTAAGGGTCAACAAAATAACCAGGATAGCACGAGAAGCGTCTCGACAACGGGAAGAAGGGGAGAAGAAACAAGAAAAATATTCCCCATATCGATTCGACTTGACAAATGAAGGCCAAGTCAGGAAAGGAAAAGAGTCGATCTCTCATAACAAGACGACTAACAAAGGAGAACACTTGAAGAGATGAAAAACCTACAATCAAAGATCTAACAGGAAAATCGCCAGAAGATTTACATACAATTCCCAGAAAATGAAAGATGTTCTTATTTCCAAACAATTTACCCAGAAAAATAAAAGACGTTCTTATCTCAAAACACAAAAACAAGTCGAACAAGCAAAGAAAACTTACTCATACTCATGATGGTTGACGGAAAGTCCTGAAAAATCCGAGAAGGACGCCGGAAAATAAGAGCGCCAGAAAGCTTGGGACGTTGTACTTGCCGAAAAAGTAGAAAGTGCAGAGAATCAGAGTGTAAAAAGCGAAGACGAGAAAAAGGGGAGGTATACTTATAGGAGTGGTAAAGGGACCCCAGCCCTCAGATTAAAATCATTTTCAACGGTTAAGATGGTGCACAGAATACGAAGCGATGGGGAGAGAAAGTGTCTTATCTTTTGAATTTTGAAATTTGAAAAGATCCAGACTTATCCAATCAATTCGAAATACAATTGGGTAAATATCACTTTACGAGTCGCAAAAACAAGCGGGTACAACTTAGGACAGCGACAGGCAACAGGATATGAGAAAAGACTCGAGGAAGACATTCGACTGTCAAAACTTACTCTTAAGCTCAGAATCGCTTCGAGTAATTTTTGGGGGGGACTAGATGATATAGCCACACTGACGCATAACGGTCCATATCATTACGGCTCAAGGATTACCAAGTCGACTTTAGCAAAGTCAACTTCGCCAATAAGGCTCTTCATGATACTCACGGTCAAGGATCCCGGCACTCGTCTAAGTCGACGTACACATGTCGACTAACATAAGTCGATTTCCTCTAGGACGATGGTCAAACGTATCAGGATCCACTAGCGGTTGAATACGATCCAGTCGACTCGAGTTGATATCTCAGGTCGACTGAAGGGATCTCGCAGTTCATAGATCTCGACAGCTTTGATATACTTCAGCGTATCGAGGGAAAGTTAAGGATAAGAAGGAAGCTAAGGAAGGATCTAGATGCTGACTAGGAAATGGGCGGAATGCGAACCGACCAGGGTATTTTAGACATTTCCAATAAGTTGTCCGGGGAATTTTGGGGACTTCAGGTAAATGTTGCACTTCTATATAAAGGAGCTGAGGTAATCCCAAAACCTTAACTTCCATTCATTCCATATTCCCCTCCACTGCTGCTGCTTCCTCAGAGCAGCTCTTTTCACTCTTTTCACATACTGACTTGAGCGTCGGAGGCTCTACGCCGGAAATCCCTCCGGCGTTGAGTTCTTGCAGGTGTTCTTGCGGTTCAACGACGGTTCGGAGGCCATCAAGTCCAGATCTGAGCTCATTCATACCGGTTCATCCCAGATCCAGACGATTTCTCATCGGTTCGTTCCAGATCTGAGAAGAGACCCATCAACCTTGTTGGAATTGCTTGACCTGTTGACACTGTTTTTGTGTCAAACCTTCATGGCCTGCTTTTATATGATTATTTAATTGGTTGATTGAGTCTAGGAGTCGTCCTAATTTTCCAGCTCCATAACTTTCACGAGTTTCTTAGTCGATGTGATTTGACTAAGTATAATTCTCGTTATCTGTGTAAGAGTCGAGATAGTTTCTTATGGGACTGTCTTGACTTATGTAGGTGTCTGACGAGAATAGGTCCACAACATTTATTTGAAGGGAAACTCCATTTGGGATTGGGAATTTAGACCAGCAGACTAGCCTCTCTTCAAGTCCTTTTTCGATATACGGCAAGGCTTGATTGAAAGAGCGGGAAGTGCACGAGAAGCGGAAGCCCTCCTTCGTGGTTGGAACTCCGAGATAGACAAGATGGGTCTAGTAAATGCTACGACTACCTACGTCTTAGTGGACCCATGAGGCCTTGGAGTGGGGTT